ATAGCATACCAATCAACGAGCCAGAATGAGTTATCGCATTCCTAATAGAGGCAGTGAGGTTTTATGGATTGGGGTCAGGTTATTTTTGAAAGATTTATAGCTTTTGGTTCCATCTCTGCTTGTTTCCTGATTCAACTTTCTGCTTCTACTCATCTAACTGTAAAATGGGCATAAGAAGCTAACTCAAGCAGAGTTCTAAAATTTTAACACCTGGAAACCTGAGACTTCTGAATTGAAAAATGCTTCTCAAAAGGCAGGAAAGAGATTCGGTGAGTCTTTTCCACGTGTTTAAAAAGTATACCTGGAGCACCTTACCAAGCTGCCCTACAGGAGAAGGATGAGGCCGACTGTGCGCAAAGCTGTACGTACAGTCTGGGAAGCACACCTGCGCAGTTCTGTCTTTCCTAGAGGGTCGCTAAGAGACGGAATAGACTCAATGGTACTGAGCGAGATGTTCAGAGGACCACAGGCTTCTTAGATCCGAACATCCGGGACACGCAAGAGCGAGGCAGCGGGCTCCGCCCCGCTTGGAGGCGGAGCCCCGGAAGATCCCGTGGACCCCGCCCCGCCCGGTTCTCCCCGCGTGGCGCTCGGTCTGGACTCGTGTCTGCGGAGGTTCGAACCATGGCTGAGAGCGGCCGGAGCCTGCAAGCTCGGGCCCTGCTGCAGCAGTGCCTGCGCGCCCAGCTGCAAGTCCGCCCCGCGGAGGGCGACGCCGCGGCCCAGTGGGTGGAGGTAACGTGCTTCCTCTGGCGCTGTGAGGCGCACCTGGGGTCTAACCTGCGCTCACCTTTTACCTTTGATTTAGTGCATTTTAAGCTTAATTGTCTCAGCCAGACCTCATGCTTCAAAGAAGCCAAAGCCTTATCACCCCTCTCATTGTTGAGGCTGCTCGTGGCCTGTGCAGGTCTGGGTCGAGCTTACAGCTGAAATTTACTGGTGTTTAGACGTGCTTAGTATAAATCAAAGATTTATCTTCCAAGGCTGTACTTCTTGGCAGGCAACGAAATCAACATACCCTTGAACTTTCGCAAGAAAGTTTTCGTTTCAAGAGACCTTTTCAAAATTTGACTGATCTCCAACTAAAAGCAGACACCATTCTTTTTACAATAATGTTGCATTGTTATTGAACACATTTTCTCCAAAGAACTTTCAAGTTTTCAGCAGTATGGTTTCCTTCTGCCTGCACACTTGCCTCTATCCCCAGCCCATGCAGAAGGAAGTTAAATGCTTCTTACTTGCCCTTACTTATTTTAGAGAAAGAGAAAAATGGCTCATAATTAGAGGCCTCTGGAGACCTCTGGAGATACTCAGAAACTTTAGTGTCGGAGAATGTCACTCCTCTGCTGGATTTTAGCACAGCTGTAGCAGTTCATGACACAATCCCGGGCACTGTGTTCAGTACTAAGCCAGTCTGTTACCCTCTGCTAACTGCAAGCATAGAACATTTCTGTATCTCTACCCCTCTTTCTCAAAAATGTACTTCTCTTATCTTTCTCCCCCTTTTCTGTAGTCCTGATTTCCATATTTTGAAATCTTTATTTTCCAGCTATAAGGGGGCTTCAAAAAGTTCATGTGACAATTTCATTATCTTTTCACTTTTCTGTTAACTTTTAAAGGACCCTCATATTTGCTGTCCTTTCTAAAGAATTACTCATTTTTAGAGTGGCCTCACTAGGTTCATTTCTCTGCCAGTGCACCTTAAGCAAGTGCAGCTACCACCATGGAGGCTTGCGTGTTACTATGATACAGAACAAGTTTTAGCAGAGCTTTCAGACTAAGACAATAGGAAGAAAGGCCTGGAAATCTTCTGAAAAACAGCCAGAGGGGGAAAAAACAGCCTGTGGATTACAAGTGATCTTACCAGGGTACAAGTGATCTAAAATCAATGATGAGGAGGGCGTAGGATGCCTGGTGGGGTTTGATCAAGTGCAACGTAGCTTAGAGAAATTACTGAAAGCCGAATGAAGGCCGAACATGATAGTGGGACAAAAAGAAAGAAAATAGAGGAAAGAACTATGAGACAAAGGAAATTATAGAGGTATAAATACAGGCATGTACATATGTAAATATATGTTACGATGCAGACATAGATATATGTATATGTATTTATATGTTAAGTATTCAGGTAGCAGATAGACATTGGGCCTCTACTCAAATACTCCTTCAATGCAAGAACACTTTGTTCTAATAACCTGGCATTCTGTGATGCTCAGCTTCCTGACATGATCACTGAAGACAAAATGGGTGCATAAGCAAATGTGGTGAAGAAAGCTGATGGTGCCTAGCTATTAAAAGATATAGCATTTGGGGCCTTACAGGCTTGAAGTTAAATAAGCGGCCATCTAGCTAGGAAGCAACAAAGCCCACATGGAAGAAGCACACCAGCAGTGCGATCATGAGTGTTGACTGGATCAGGTATCAGGCATCAGGAGACCCAAAACAAACAATCATATGATTGCAAATGAAAGGGGACCAGAATAGAGACCCAAAGCCCATCTGAGGACAATTGGACATCCCCTCACAGAAGGGTCACAAGGAAGGGACAAGCCAGCCCAGGTGTAGTATAGCACTGACAAAACATACAACATTCCTCTAGTTCTTTAATGCTTACCCCCACCCTCTCAA